CCCCAAAACCCCAAAACCCCAAAACCCCAAAACCCCTTAACTTTAGGCCATCATTGAGAATATTTTATACCAACATGTCTCAAGAAATGGTACACAAGATTACAGAGTTCTATGAAGGCATCCAAAAGCCTAAAAGAGCAAGGAGGAGTAAGTATTTTGCTGCTAAAGAAATGCCCCATCCCTGTTTGCAATAATTATCTCCTCTGCAGCTTGTTAAACTATGAATTTATAGAAAAACATCCGTTTAATAGCACAAAGACAAGCCTAAAATCTGCTAAGATCTTTATAAATCCGGTGAAGAGGCGAGTAAAGGTAAAAAGTAAGCAACCCATTGCTGGGCTTATCTGATGAAATAGAGATCAGCCACGCTCGTATCAATAATTTTGTGATTCGGAAATAAGAGTATTCAAAACTCTACTCTATCCAACTTCACCCAGGCCAAAGATGAGTAACTCCTTTGCTTATGTTTTAGAGAAGATAGTATTTTCTCGCAGGCTGAGCCATCAACGCCTTGTAAGTTCATATTTCACTGAAATTAATGTTGCTTTAGTAAATTTACAGACAAGGATCAAGTTCCCAAAATCAACCTTCTCTTCAACTAGTATGAAGGTACGCTTCTGATCATAGGCTTAGGTCAGGAAGATGACAACACCGAGTGGGTTTAGAACTAGGCAGACTTTTAAGTAATCGCGAAACAAAGACACTTTAGGTTGCCTCCAAGGCCTCTTAAGAAACGTACAAAGCAAAGGAAACATTCGAACAAGTTGAAGTTTATTATCCAGAAAGCTGATAATTACTTAAAAGGTAGGATATCCAGTCTCTATCTTTAGAGTCACCAATAGAGATGCAAAGCCAGAGGAAATCTAGGTCTGTGAACCCTCGCAAAAAGTACAAGCGTCCCTCTTGGCTACACATCCAGGATAACTCAGGTAAGTTAAATAATATCTGCATTGTAATATCATGGTTTAGAAATTCGGAACAGAAAGCTGATCACCCTGTACTCTTCCACAACCCACGAGATTGATAATACTGAGGCTGAGATGAACCCTCCAGATCCAAGCTGGACTTCTCATGACACAAGTGCACTGGGTCTTAGTTACCAGAAGAACCAGCATACTAGGTAATACCCCTTAAACATGTCTTTAGGTCAGAATCATTTGGGTCTCAGTCTTCAATAACTGGCAGAAAGACCGAGAGTAACTTATTCCTAATCTTTCAGAAAAGCGCAGTAGATTCATGATCAAACCTACTGGAGTGGACCAAGATGAGGTCTTGGAGGAGAGCACCAGAAGAAAACTTTGGACCAAGAACATAGTTGTACGTACTAATATTTGACCATTTTAGAGCAAAAAAATCAATCACATTAAACTAAGCTCCTTATTTCGCATTAAAAGATAAATTCAATCAATTTTGGTTAAATTGGGGTTTTGGGGTTTTGGGGTTTTGGGG